TAATTGGGCGGTAAATATCAGGATGGTCTATAGGCTTATTGGGTTTGTGAATCATAGTTGTGATTGAGTATTTCCATAAAATCGGAAAATTGGTAGTTCTAAGAATGGAATTGAATATGTTTGTTAAGAAATTAATGGCCTTTTTTTGGTAAATTCTTTAGAATATAGTTAGTAATGAGATCGAACCCTGGAGATTTTCGATTTGGTAAACAATTTATAATAACGCTAACTTCATTTAGGTAAAAAGGTTAAGGTGGGGAGGGGGAGGGGTCATTTCTAAAGGAATATCGAATTGATGTTCTACCAATTTTGCACTGCGCGAATCATGCAAATCACTGTGAGGGGTAAATATATTTTCTAAATGGCATGCGAATAATTCAGCTTTCTGAGCGTCTGACTTTGCCCACGAGCCATCAGGATATCGAATTGGATGCGATGTTTCTTGATGATTCAACAAGGGTTTTTTCATTCGCCAAATAGACGTATTGTTATTATCCAAGCTGTCTAGGAGGGTATTAAAATTTTCATTTTTAAATCGTCTGGTTTCTTCTCGCAATTCCGTTGTTAGCTGATTAAATTTGGACATATCTGAAGGATAGCGAGTGCGCTGCCACTTCTTACGAGCTTCTCGTTTCTCTTGTAAGAGGTATTTAATTGAATCTGGGATGTTATTTTTCATATATCTTACATTGAACTGTTTTAATGGACATAAGTAAGAATTCCAAGCCGCTTGTTGTATAGCTTGCGTTAGCGATTGGACTGCATCGTCAACTTCATCTGTAGTCGGCAAGAGGGTGTTCAAAGAGATAGATTTTTATAACATATCCCTAAAGTTTTTCCAATTAATTTGACCTGGCGTAAGCGTCGGTTGTGGAGATTTCAGAATTGGTTCTAGATCAACCGTAAGTAGCAAAGGAGAGTGATCAGACGAAAGGTCAAACAAATTTTCGATGTCAAAGTGCAGCTGGTTGAGCCCTTTACTAATAAAGAAATCTAAAACATCAGGAATTCTGTTAAGATCAGTAGGCTAGTATGTTGGTGAAGGAGGTGAAACATGAGAGCAACTGCTGGAGATCATAGCGTTGTGAAGGGTCCTTCCTCGGGAATTAGTCATTCTGCTGCCCCATATTTGGTTTTTAGAATTAAAGTCACCACCGCATAGGAATTTATGACCTAATTATAAAATAAAATATTAAAGGATTGAGAATATAAGGTTTCATTAGGTGGGCAATAGACAGCAGCGACAGACAACTCGAAGGGAAAAATTTTTAGAACAATGGAGGTACTCTGCAGACACTCACTTGCCTCAGAAGAGTTGAAGTAGTGACTAATAGACTTTTTAACCAGAATGAGTGTTCCACCTTTAGCACAGTCTGATGGATGGTCAGTCCTGAAAGTGTTGTAAGTTGGTATTGAAAATTTAATTTGGTTTCTCAAGTGTGTTTCGGTCAAGAGTGTTACATCAATTTCCATGTCACTAAGAAATACTTGTAGCTCATTTCTGTGCTTAAGTATGCCATTTGAATTCCATAAAAGAATTTTTAACTTTTTCATGGCGTAAGCTTGGGCAGGAGGTGCTGCATTAGGGTGGTAAGTAATGAAATTAGTGGAGTCACAAGGTTTTTAAATTTATTAATGAAGTCAGTAAGTTGTGTTGTGATGTCAGGTTGTTTTGTGTTATGGAGAACAGCATTAGTTAATGATCTATTTTCAATTGTAGTGATAATTTTTGGAGATGTAGTGTATGTTGGTATAACGTGAGAATATGACAGCTTTTCTCGCGAAGCTGCATTCTTATGTGACTCTTCTGATTTCAGATGTCCTTCAGACCTAGCATAAAGTGTTGGACTTCTAACCGGTGGGTGTTGCCTGAGTTGTTTCAATTCTTTGTGAACGATACAGCCTCTGTAGTTGGCCGGGTGGGCTTCATTGCAAAGAGCACACTTCGGTGGTACATCTTGAGACTTCTTACAGCTGTCTGAGAAGTGTGAACCTGCGCATTTTAGACACCGCGGTTTAAGGTTGCAGTAGGATTTTGTGTGACCATAGGATTGGCATCGTTTACATTGAACGATTTCGTTTCTGTGTCTGGATTCCTCAACAACAACTCTCGTGTAGTATAAATATTGTAGTGAAAATATTTTATCACAATTTTCATTTTTTAACAAAGAACAAGGGAAGCGGTACTTTGGTTCTTGGATGAATAATATTGTGTACTTTTATAACTGCATAACCTTCTTCCTCTAGTTCTTGTTGGATGGTTTAACAACTAAGATTAGGATGTAGATTTTTTATGACCTCTCGAAATGGTCTATCTTCTTGCAGCTGATACGTGTGATATTTAATAAATAAATTTCATTTTAAAGTTTACACATTTCCATTAATTTAGAACGATTCGAGTGCTATGAGGGACTTTAAAATACGTATTTATTTATTTAGTTTCTACAAATGGCCGACAGTACAAATTTTCAATTCAGAAACCTGTGAGATCACTTTCTAAAACGTTAGAGAGGCCAGCAAAAGTTTTCATACATGAACTGATAGATGATAAATAAAACAACAACAATTCTTTTCTACATATTTTTTTATTTGAACGCCCAATAATAAATTCAACACAAATGTTATCAATATTCTAAAAATTGTTTGCATAACAACAAAAACATACTTTTTTAAAAATAAAAATTAAAGTATACAATAAGAATTTTATAAGACTACAAAGTTGACTCCAAAACGAAGAAATGTATTCAAAATGTTAATAATTTATCAAAATAATTTAAAATTTGTTTGTAAAATACATTATTGTACAATAGTCCGTGGTACAGACCTCTTTTTATGTACTTACTGTCAGGCAAATATTTTTGAGTAAATTGATACGAGTGGTATTGAATTTATAAATATGCGTTTAAATTTAAAAAATGTATATAAAGGAAAGAATACTTTTTGATGATTTGTATATCTCATATACAAGCCCGTGTATGAAAACGTTTTCTGGTTACTGTATGCGAAGAGCTTTTAGAAATAAGTGACCAGGAGCTTCAGAGCAGAAGAATAAACGAAAATCATGGTTTAAATCTTAGATCAATAATAATTATTTGGGAGTAGCTGAGACAGTTATCAGAGCACGGCATGAAAATGACTAACACGAATTCAGGACAGTTATACGAAATTGGTTCCACTGCCACCACCTTTTATTTTTTTGAAACCTTAAGGTTTGGAAGATAATTTAATATGACCCCTCATTTGGACTTCTCAGGAAATAGATTGACCCTAGCCTTGAACGGCCTCAGTAACCTAGGAGTACACATTTTGGGGCCTCAGATATCCAGCTACGATAATCATTTACAATGGAGTTATATTAATTATTCTGAGATACGCCTCTCCTGCGTATTCTCAGAACATCTCACACCGTCAGAAACGCAGGTTGGCAACAATTCAACGTACGGCTCTGTTACGTGTCATCAAGTCATACCAAAGTGAACCTTAAAAAACAGTACAGATCTCAGCAGCAGGGGTACCTCTCGATATTATCGTGCGAGAATACTCATTGAAATTGAAGTTCAAAAGAGACGGCTCAGCAGATCTTTCGGAAAATATCCACGAGAGCATTGTTGAAGACTCAAGAAAATGGAAAAAGATCATCCGGAAGGATAGCACAGATCAGTGGAATCGGCGGTGAGTGACAACCTTGAGAAAACATTTTCCCTCGGTCCGAAGTCGCTCGGACGCGAAGCGGGTTATCCTGGACTACTGGGTCTTTCAATTCCAAGTTTCAAGCCCCTTATTAGATCCCATACTGACTTTCCCATACTATACCATAATGAACCGCCAATTGCCTTCTACTCCTCTGTTAAAAATTTAGGATTTTTCATAGATCAAACCCTCTCCTGGAACTACCACATTTCTCACATTTCCCGTAGGACAATTTCTACCCTTAAACTATTTCATTGCTTCCGCCATCTCCTACCTCAACATACCCGTAGACTCCTAATTTCCTCTCTCATCCTCCCCCCACTTTGACAACAGCTGCGTGGTGTAAGATGGCCTCTCGGTGCAGCTCCGTGATAGACTGAAAAGATTAATGAATAGCTGCGTAAGATTTGTTATTGGTGTCCCGAAGTACTCCCATGTTTCTCACCACTACATTGAGTTAAGGTGGCTCTTCCCCTCCTTTAGAAGACAATATTTCCTAGGTACGTTCCTCTATCAAATCATCAACAACCATCTCCAATTCAAGTCCTCTGTCCACTCCCTTTCAACAAGATCTCGACCTTCTGACCTCTACATCCCGTTGCACAGATCTGCCTAATTTCAGAATTCCTTTATAGCTCGCGCTGTCAATTTCTGGAATTCTTTATCTATCAAAATTCGGCATTTCCCCTCCATATCCACATTCAAATCGCTCCTATTCCAATTCCTATCCCAAAAACAGTCAGATACTTGCTAAACTTTCGATATTATACATTTCTAGTCATCATCAAACGATAGTACTATTCTATACTGTGAACTTCACTAGGGATATTACAATATCTTCCGGCTCTTAATGCCACTGACCGCATCTATTGTTTTTTTTATTATTATTTTTTATTGGTGTATAATTAAATCTGTACCAATAGCTAGCATTTGACAATAATGAGCCTATATATTAATCATTATTTAAAGACACTGATATTTTATATTGTCAGCTTTGTCTTTTCTTTGTTAGCACAAACACACCTCATTTTAAAGAAGAACACAATGTATTTTTATTATTTTATTATTCAACAGAGTATAATTATAATTTTTCCTACTGTACATAGTCTTAAGTTTTTTATCATAGTTTTAAGTGTTTTGTATATAGATTTTTTTTGTATATAGCTTGTTTAACTAATATTTTCTTTACTTTATCTTTTTTATTATTGTTTTATTTTGGCCAGATGTAGTATTTTAATTATGTTCTATTTTGTTATTCTAAAGGGACTTTGTCCCAGAATAAAGTTATTTTCTATTTCTATTTCTAACAGAGACGGCAGAGTACGTCATTTACAAAGATTTTGTTTACGGGTGGGAAGCTGCTCTGGGGCCGACACACTTTAGTGTGGGAAGAAGAGGAACAGCTTATGGATTGTCACGAACTGCCTTAAGGTGAAATGAAAATGAAGAAAACTGAAAAGAACAGCGGAGATGATGGCATACACATCCGTGATATGTGATCTCAGCAAAATCTCATGTAGCCGAAAGGTAAGGTAGGGAGGAATAAATAAATAATTTTTTACACTCAAGGTATAAAGGTACAAACTTCAAAATTTATCGTCATTCCATCGAACTGCCATTTCTTACCCAACAGAATGTTTAAAGTTTAACTAGTTGTTCTCCAGATGACCCTACAAACGAAGTGGGAAAAAAAATGACAAAACCTAATTATGATCATACATGTTATTACTCATTTCTTTGAAAATTTAATATGTTCATTATAATAATAATTTATAATAATACTAATATAAATAATTTGTATAAATATAACTAATCTTATATTAGGAATATCGGCGTTTGTACAGGATCTTGTTTAAAAAAAATTGTAATATTGTCTTCAGCTAATTTGTATTCAGGCCTAAGTTCTGCAAGTAATATACAGTATTAACTATATATGTGGGCATAATATATAATATATTACTTACGTATATATGTAAGAAATATTAAGGGTAAGTATTGCGACTGTGAAAATTTTCGAATCTGAGTTTTTAATGGAAATACACGTTTTGGGGTACCCTGAGTCCAAATAACCCAGTCTCGAAAAATGGTCTGTGTGTGTTCACATTTCGCACATTGTGCATATTTATCTTTTAAATATTATATAATAAGTACAATGTATTCAGAATTCTTTAAAACAACAACCAATCTTATTACGTAATTTATTTTTGGACTTAAAATTTTCATTTTTGTATATTTTCATAAATTCAACAATTACACAAATTTATTTGACTTCATTGAAAAGATGGCATTGAAAAATTTTAGTGAGGAATTACTTGAATGGGAATTTAAAAAATGTAATCCTATCTCAGCACACTTTAGAAGTTATTAATATTTGAATATAATTATTTTAGTATTTGTAAAATCTAAAAATTGGTTTTTGGCTCTAGTTGTATTTATATTTCGTTATAATAAAACGAATAATTATTATAGAAATATTAAGTAGGAAGAAACCGCTTGATTATTTTTATTAAAAAGACTATCTGCTTCTTAAACTACAATTTTAAACCATGATTTATAAGATTAAAGCAAAAGAAATCATACTGCATTATTAAGATATCAAGATCTTTTTGTTTTCTATATCTATAATTATAGTTTTTCTTAAGTTTGTAACATATAATAGAAACTGACTAACTATACTTAGGATAACATGACTTTATATGAAATAGATAAGTAGAGTCTTTTTATTTATGTATGTGTTATAATCAAAAAATATTGAGGTTGCGGGGAATTTCGTTTCAAGTTAATCAATGTTTTCGTTTTTATTTATATTTAATTGACATTTTTACAATTTTCTCCATACAATACGATTTTGATTAAACTCGGTGTATCATTGTATAATTAAGTGGTCTTTAATGTCATTTAGGTCTTATCCTTGTTGATGTCACTTTACAGAGCTTAAATGCAAAATGTTCATATACGTCTTCCTCTAAAGTACCTTTAATATGATTTATTTTAAATAATTAACTATCTTTCATTTTTAAGAGTTACGAAAAAAGGCTAAATATAACTTTTAGAATTTGATAATTTAATAAAGGAGAAAAAAAAAATAAAAACGCTTATTCAGGTCGAAAATGAATCTTCGGAAATACTAATCAGTACGTATAATATATCATTGGAAAGAGGAGAATTTTAGAAAAAAACAATATCTGATATAGAAAGTTGTAGAAGGTAACGGAGAGTGGCAACCATTTTTTGAAAACTAATAATATTTAACGTAAATCACATGCTTTCAAGGAAATTGAATGAAAGTTACTTACTAAATGTAAACTTTTAAAATATATTTTTTTTTTAACTTTTATTATGATATTTACAACTGTATTAGTATGAATACATCAAGTAAATGTGTACATAGGAATATTATCACATATAACACGCTTGTTGAGAAACTACCCATTGGTAGCACTCTAATAATTTGTCTACATGAGGTGATCACGAGGCCATCTCCTTTTCAGACGCCTCGGAGGGTTATCAGGAATCGAAGAGGAAGCAAGGAGTGCGACTAGAATTGCTGGAAGGGGGATGTGCTCGACGTGGGATGCGAGGAGTTAGATCTATATTCTGTTGGGCTTGTGATGGGAGGTTTACATTGGGATTAGGAACGGATGGAACTGGGTGTGGATGCTCTGGCGGGAGTTTGACCCTTAAGGGTAGATGGGTAGATCCAAATCGATTGATTGAAATTTTCACTAGAGTAGTTTTATTCATCACTTTAATATTTAAGATCTCTAGTTCTCAACTTAACCTACTGCAAGTTGCTTCATTTGGTGCTTCTATTATATTTCCTCTTGAAGATTACCTTGCACCATATCCCCTATTATTACTGCAAGAAGTACAGAAATGGAGGAAGGTGAAAAACAAACTCCTTTTCAATCACGTGAAAAGCTGGATGTATCTCCAGCACCCAATAGAGCAATAGTAAATAAAGGAGCACTGACAAGTGATGGGGAGAGCAGCGAGATAGGAAGAGCCAAAGAGACATCACACAGTCAGCCTAGTTCTTTGAATAGTAACAGCCAATGCAGCTGTGACGTCACCGAATCTTATCACGATACTTCGCAGCAAACAATTACATCACCTGACGGAAACATACGTGTCATGAGGCTATTGCAGAGAACAATTTAAGTTATAAGAACGTAAATGAAGAAAACAGCCGAATAATATTAAAACTGCAAGAATTTTTACTGAATGCCCAAGCAAAACAAATAAGCAAGACGGCAGTTGAGACGGTTCTTGCGGCGCCACGTAAACTGGAGGATAACTGTAATAAGCTCATAATTGAAAATGCAGAATTAAACGGCGAAATAAGAGTATTAAGAAACCAAGCCTTCTGCCCTACACCTGTTACATTCGAAACGCATGGTCTAGAGACATTAAAGCTGGTAATGAAGGACATAATAAATGAGGAGGTTAAGCCTCTCGTCACTGAAAAGGTCGATACCACGAAAAAACAATCTTATGCCTCTACATTAGTTGGGAAAAGACAGGAAACTCCTATTGAACCTCCGAGTTCAGTGTACATAGCCCAGACATACCTAAGCAGGGAAAAATATCCCACCGTACAGGAATTGAAACAGGGGATAAAGAAAAGCTTCACGCCTGCTAAAGAAGGAATCAAAATTAGAGGACTGGTAGAAACAACAAAGGGTGTAATAATTAGGACTCAAACAAAAGAAGAAGCTAAGAGGCTCGCTCAGTTGGAGAGAATAAAAGAACTCGGCACTAAAGTAAACTTGGAGAATAAACGCCTTCCAAGAATAATTATATATGATGTCCCAAGTGACCTGGAGCAAGAAAAGATTGTCGAACTGTTCTGGACCATAAATGCAAAAAAAATTAGATCCTAATAAGCAGCACTTCAGCCTTGTTTTCAAGACAGGTTCAAGAGGAAGAGATACAGTTCATTGGATGGCGGAAGTGTCCCCGGCGGTGAGAAATGAAATATTGGCAGAGGGAAGAGTTTTCCTGGATTGGTCATCTTGCAATGTGAGAGACTGGGTGACAGTGACACGATGCAATAAATGCCAGGATTTTTCACATATAGAAAAATTCTGCCCCGCAACTGTCGTAAACTGCGGCTACTGTAGCGAAAGAGGACATGTTTCAGGAGACTGCCCAAAACAAAAGACCGGCGGACCGCCGAAATGCATAAACTGCAGTAAAACCAACTCAGCATCTAACCATCCGACAAAGACTGCCCATCATACAAAAGAGCAATTGAAAGGTTAGTAATGAGGACAAAATATAACGACAATGAATAATAATTCTGCCCTCCGGATAGCCCAACACAATCTAAACAAGAGAACGCTCGCAATGTAAGAATTTAGACGCATGGCCTCACTAAATAACATAGATATTGGTGCTCTTCAGGAACCTCCTACTAGGAGAGGGAAGGTGTCTGGAACTGAACCGCAAGACCGCACCATTGCTAGCAATGGAAGTGGGTTACACGATGCACCACAGAGCGCAGTGGTGGTGTTTAATCATTGCCTTACAATTACATCACAGCCTGATCTGGAAGATAGATTTATTTCAGTTGCCAATGTAGATTACGTAGGCATTAACTTTGACTTGATCAATGTTTATGCAAAATTCGCACTCCCACTGGAAGACATACTGACAAAATTGCAGCTGGTAATACGGAAGCTGAGTAAGAACATCTTAATAATGGGCGATTTTAATGCTCACTCAATTTTGTGGGGCAGCCGAAGAACCGATAGAAAAGGCGTCCTACTGGAGGATTTTGCTGCAAGGAATGGCCTAACCATTGTAAATGATCCCATGGCCTTGCCAACGTTTTCGGGATCCAGCAGAGAATCATTTATCGATATAACTCTGGCATCACCTGGCATTGGCCAGCTTATTAGCTTTTGGAAAGTCGAGGATTGGACCTGCAGTGATCACCGGGTGGTTTTATTTGAAATAAACCTAAACAATGAAAAGCGATACTATAAGGAACGTTTTGTGACGGAGGGAGCTGAGTGGGAACGTGTTGCTGAGAATATTGCATGGCACCTAACAGAGCTGGAGCAACACCATCATAGGGAATTAGAAAAAGAGGCAGCGAAAATCTCAACAGAAATTTTCACAGCGGTTAAGGAGGTGTTGCCCATAACACGAGAGTCAATAAGAAAGGGACAAGTATGGTGGAACACACAACTCACAAGCCTGAAGCGGAAGACCTACAGAGCAAGACGCCGATTTCAGCGAGAAAACGATGCTGTTACCAAAAGAAATGTCAAAAAAGCATATTATGAACTTAATAAGAGTTTCCAAAAGGCAATAGGAAAAGCAAAGAAAGAGACATGGCACCGATACCTAGACCAATGCAAAAGCCCTTGGGGACTAGCCTATCGGAGAATCCTTGATAAAATCTCAAATAGAAACTCCTTCACATCGTTTATGCACAATGGGGATGCAACCAGAACGGCAGATGAGGTTGTTAATGCTATAATGGTGAGATCTTTCCCTGAAGACGAACTAACTTCAGACACAG